AACCAAGGTGGTGACTGTATATTTTCGTTTTTGATAACGTCAAGATGTGGGAATGGGATGTCTTTTAGGGCGTTTGTGATCTGTTTCGAAACATTGAGATTATTTTGGGAGCGTCTGGCTGCTARTAGCATGGAKCTTTGAACTCTCCTGATGTAAAGTGGGGCTACACCGGCTGTGTTAAGCACACTGGGAATGGGGCTAGAGCGATATGCTCCGGTGACAAGCCTTAGCCCTATTATAATATTGTATAAGTAGTGGTAGTGTATTCCAACGTTTTAATAAACACATAACTGTATACAGTATACACGCACCTCGTTTTCTGCACTGTTTCACAGTGTGTACATTTGCTTCAACCTTCAACTAAAAAGTTGAGCGTATATGAATTAAATGTTTAATTTGATATTGCTTAGTTTTTTTTTATTTTCAAAAGAACATTGCTGGAGCTTGGAAAGTGGAAGTACTCGAGATTATTGAAGCAAAATCTTCCATCGATACCTAGCGCAAACGTAAAATAATATCAAATATATTGTCAAAGTGTGATGAACCTGCACTATTAAAAAAGAGAAAAATCGAATGTATATTAATGCCTTATAGTAAAACAGTTATTATTTTATTATTTACTACATTACTTACAGTATAATTTTATTGTTATTGTACCTACATTTAATTATTGGAATTTAATATTCTTTATTCTGAAATGACATCATACATATTATGCGACATTATGGACATTAAACAATGAACCACCATAAAAAAAAGAAAAATAGAAGATAAATTAATTATTACTACCTACTTACTTTKAAAGTTCATGGAAAACAATTTTTAATTTTAGTTTTATAATTTCTTACACTATACTTACTACTATTATAAAGGTATATCGTATATGTCCACCATTAACAAAGAGTTTATTGATCAATTAACTTATAGTTTGAAATTTCTTGTAAATAAATAATTATATTATGGTGACATGTAATATTATGTTTAATAACTGTCAATTTACATTTTACATAAGTTCAGCTTCAGCACAAAAATTCCAATAAAAAAATCCATGGCAGAACAATTTTTTCATTGCAAATGAAAAATTGGTCAACTACTAACCTGATCTTACAGCTGTATCTATTTATATGTCATTGGCTTACATAAAACGCTTAAAATATTAATGCCGTTAATAATTGAATTATTTGAAAATTTTTTTTTTTTTTTTTTAATTAAACAAATCGCCAAGAAGACGTGTTTTCAATTATTGCGATTTGACTATAAAAATCTTTAGCATTTTGGATAAAGACCCGTTGATGTAGGTACCTATAGGCTATATGTAATATGTAGGTATATAAGGTATATGTATATTACATTATTACATACTATATATAAATTTATTATTTCACTGTATTAAAAATAAGTTGATAATATTTCCGTTTTTCAATTAAAAGTTTAAAATACATATGTTATGGAAGGAACTATACAATTTAGATTTTAGACATATGTATAGTGATAATGACCTTTGATGGCCCATCTACAATATAGGTACTCCCAGTCTTCCAGGGTACTAGGTATAGTGATGATGATAGGTGCACATTTGTAGATGTAGTTATTTTTACTTAAATCTGAGTAGGTATTAATTTTAATTAGATTATTAACCTTGGAAAATCTGACGGAAACAATCTGTTTCGCCTTGCCTATTGTTATGTTAATATTATAATAAGTATATTATTAAATCACTAGACCGTTTTTGAGTTCTCTATAAATGTATATTAGGTATAATGCAACAATATTATTATGGTAGATATACATATTTTACGTATTGTAATATTCGAGATATTACTTGGGT